CAATCGTATATTCAGATGAGCATAGATAAATTAATTGCTACGCTGCGAATTTTCTTATTTGCACTAATTACAATCTACGTTTTCAAATTATGCGGATCGTGCTAACTCCTGGGGAAAATAACAACATGGCTCGGAGTGTGTACTTTCCTCGGAACGCAATGTTCGCGATTTCCGAAATCTACGTCACTTGAAGTTTGTATTCCCTCCGATAATAATAACATTGTTGCTATTGCCCCGCTTTTGGGGGTTCGGTTATTAATTCGCTTATAAAATCCATCAGTGTCGCGATAAGTTAATGCGAGAACGTGGTCGCGACGTTATAAACGGCAAGATTCGCGTCAACGTCAAACTTAATATCGAGTTTACTCGCTGTCAATACGATTATAGTATCGGGCACTTGATTCCGCTCACGTATTGCTTGCTTTGCCTCCATGCCCCGAAGGAATATGTTGTTTTATGGGGGCAAATGTGTGAGATACAAGGGTATAAAACTCGACTAATACCGAGGTGAAAAATATTTTTATGTAATAGTTCTTGTCAGCGTTAAGCTTGTTTTATATTTTTGTTGGAAGCATATTGACAATATAACTTGCCTCCGTTATTTATAAACTACTTTTAACTTGTAAATTCCCGCTTTCTTCGCAAGATATAGTTTTTTACTCTACACAAACTCTTCTTTTCGATACTGCTTAACATAAAAACTGATTGCTTTTTACAAAACTTCAGAGCTTGACTGAAGCCAACAGGATGATTGGCGAAACGTCAGCAATTTCGACTAAGCAAAAACCGACGCAGGAGGAATTCAGAAGCTTTGTAAAAAACATTAAAAGAGCCTTTGGAAGTTTCTTTGAGAAATTATCAAAACTGATTGGTGGTAAAACTATCTAAACAAGGTACAAAATTATTGGTATTAGATAGAAATAAATGATTGAAAATCTACGGAATCTACGGAATCTCTGCTGCTACCGCTATTTTTAATCTTTAATAAAAATTTATCAGAAGGGCACTTCTCGACTATTTGGAAATGTGTCAAAGTAGTACCTGTTCATTAGAGTGGCAGCAAGATTGATATCATAAACTACCGACCCATATCAATTCTTTCTATTGCAGGCGAAATGTTTGAGGCAATTATAACAGAGGAGTTATTTTTAAAACTTAGGTACGGTTTTGAGGAAACGTAACATGGCTTTTTTAGGGGCAGGTCCGTCGCCACAAATCTCTCACTGTATATTCAGGATGTATCTGAGGCGTTCGATAATAAAATGGATGCAATGTACACCGATTTCTCGAAGGGATTCTATAAAACGTAAAAACTTCGGTGTGCACGGTTACCTTTACAAATCTTTTCAATCATACGTTAGTTCTAGGGCATACCTCAGGGATCGAAGTTGGGACCTATTCTTATTTTCTTTGTTCATAGCGGATCCGGGTAAAAGTTTTCGTTTTGCAAAATTTGTTTCATACGCTGATGACCAAAAGGTATATACGAATGTCAGGCGCATCGACGACTATCGCAAGTTTCAGGAGGACCTTGATAGGTTTTATGACTACTGCTTAGGAAATCAACTATCTTAAGTTCAGTAAATTAAAAAATGATACAACTTTTAATTATAGATTCAATGGAGTATGTATTAAAAAATAAACCATATCACGGATCTTGGAGCAACTATAGGCACAAAACTGAGTTTTGAAATTCATATTGAAAACACAGTGAAAAGGGCTTACAGAAACTTGGATTTTATTACAAGGGTTAGGAAAGAATTTAAAGATCTCAAGTTGCGGGTAGTACTCTATAATGCCTATGTGCGGACTCTTGAGCGTGATATGGAGTGCTCAATATCATAAGTATGTAAACAGAATTCAAAGCATTTCAAAAAAGTTTATTTTTCTCATGAACTTTAGATATAACCACAATCTAATCTATTAAACAAGTCTTAACTTAACTTAATATTGTTAATAACAGAGTAGACTGTTCAAAACTGTTGGAAACCTTATCCTTTAATGCTAGGATGGTAACGACTAGAACGAAAGTACAGAATTAGCTTACGATTTGCTGTAGCTCCATTTGAAATAATTGAATTTATTTTGCTTTAGGAATGAATTTTCTCATTACCGAGAGATCGAAACATGAACTTTCACTCATGCTTGAAAAAAGTCCCAAATAGTGATTTTACATTGCGAATTTTAAAAATAAGATGAACTGATTGGGGAACAGTAAGTGGTTGTACGGAATTAGTAGGAATTTTTTCACGAATCAAAATTCGAAAATCCATGAGGGTAGAGTTAAATAAGTCAAAGATACGAAGGTTGTGTTTCTCCATGAAACTTCAAAGCGACATGTTTTGGCATTACAATGTAGATTTTCTTAGACATTTAAATTCTATACACCCTAACATACGTTTTACCATCAAATTAGAAACTAATTACTACCTCCCATTCTTAGATATTCCTATCAATAGAAAATCTGCACACAGGCCGATATCTTAATACATTGTCACATCACCATCCGGCCCAAAAATCATCAGTTATCAACTCTTTTGTTTACAGGGCCGTAAAACTATATCAGACCGAGTCACTGAACCCAAAATTAAAACAAATTACTTCTGCCCTTCCCTCTAATAATTTCCACATTAAAAAAGTATTAAGCGTTCCATCACAAAAAACAACCTCCCAATAGCAATGAAGCCGAAAGCAATCCCACACTTGCCACTGTTGTCCTTCCTTACATTCAAAACATCACTGACCACATATCAAAAGTTCTAAAGAAATATAACTTCAAAACCAGATTTACCGGTTGTCCAAAAAATCTCTCAACATAATCGATCCGCAAAAGACAAAATTTCATTTGAGACGCCAGGAGTTTACAGCATTCCATGCGTATGCGGCAATACATTGGAGATACCGGACGAAAAATATCAACTAGGATTAAAGAATATGAAGGAGCCTTAATATTAAGACAAATAAACTCATCAGCTGTTGTTGAACACACTCATGAAACCGGGCATAAAATGTTATTTGATAAAACTAAAATTCTTGCATGTAATCAGTTCTTCTACCAAAGAAAAATCCGAGAGTCTATAGAAATCTACAACCTAACAATCTTAACAGCGACTCAGGACTTTACCTGTCACTAATATGGGAATCAGTCATCCGAGAGTCGGTGTATATGCCCCTCAAACAATAAAAAAGCAGGTACAGAGTAAAATGCGAGACAGTTTCAATCAAGCTCTAAAGAAGCCAACAGCACGATTGGCGAAACGTTATCTAGTTTGACTCAACAAAAACCGACGCAGGAGGAATTCAGAAGTTTTATTTTAAAAAGTATAACAGTAGCCTGTGGAAGTTTCTTTGACAAATTGAAGTTTAGTTGTACGTCTACATGTAACATCTAATGCAGGTTAATTTTTTTATATAACGTTTTTGTTCTGCTCACTCTGGTGGACTATGCTCTGTTTCGTAATGAGTGAAATATAAATCTGTATTGAACTGTAAAACTGTGTGGCAGCAGATAGTTGAGCTACCTTTCAAGCAGTTGTCAACGTTCTTGAAAATGTCTGCTGTTTTTTTTGGAAATAAAATTCAAAGAAGTTTCAGAAAGATATGTTGAAAGAGATTGGATTGGAGATTGTAAAATTAAATAAACCTCTTTGTACGAAATTGTCGAAGAAATCGCTGCAAAACGAAATATAACGAAACTTCGCCTTCATTGCAAATTTAACCATCTAGAATTGGTATAGTAAGTAAAGTAAAGTTAAGTACAAACATGTATAGCAAGGAATAAGACCATTTCTTAAATGAGCGACGCTGCAAGTGAATAAAGACAGAGGATGATAAAAAAACATCGAACATGTGATTAAAATAGAAAAAAAATCTGGGAAGCTAAATAATATGCTAGAAAACATTGTGTAGACCCTTATTATTTCACTCAATTTCACAGTCTATTTGTATTCTGAATAGTATTTTTCTTATAAAAATAATTCTATAAACTTCTATATACTTACTTCTGTAGTAACGCTTCTGTCACATTACTTTTATTTTTTCATTTCAAGGTGTATAGGTCTTAAAAACTGAAATACGCAATTTTTTGTAATGTAACCCATACCTTTACCATCTTTTTGAAAGTTTACATTTTGTTACTCTCTCGCATTAAGAAACGAGGTGTATTCCAATTCAGGTGTTTTTCTTTAAATCAGAGGCCGCTCAATCGTTTATACAAAGAGTGTAAAAATTATTATAATTCTTTCTAGTTTTGGTGCAACTTGGATTAATGAAATTTCATATTATTTAAAAATATCGTTTTAGAAGTTTTCTTCCCGTATTCTTTCTTTTTAAATAATTTGGCAATTGTGTGAAAGATTTTTTAACGGCTTTCGGCAACGGCGAGTCCTCTTCTCTGATTTCACCGACTTTGTAGCTATTAAGATTTCCCTACGGATATATTGTTAAGAAAGGTATATAGGGGTGCTGATTGCAAAAAATCAATGTCACTGCTCGAGTCGTTGCTACGTCTTCAAGCAAGCCTAGTGACATTTTGACACAATTTCGTCTCCGTGGCACAACCTGCCTCAAACAACTGCCGCACTTGCGATTGACATCCCCTCAATTCTAACCAGAAAACTTTCGTTAACGCTCCGGTGCTCAAACGTTTCCAATATTAATAATGGAATTTCCACCTACCTTTAATTTTAAGAGTAAAGTTCTGCGAACACCTTCGCGTCGGAACAGGAATTTATCAAAACCTCTCCATAAATAACGTAATCGTAAACGTAAACTACCAGAGACGTGCATTCAATCCCATTATGAAATATTTCCGTAGGAAACCCCAAGAGCCGAACAAACTCGAAAGTCACCTCTGAAATTAAAAAAGTTGGGAAAGTCGTGCATTAGATAAAAAAAACACACACACGCAGGGAGCGCGCGCAATGCTTGACAAACCTCACATTATCCACCCGATCTGTGAAGGGTCTTCGTCTTTATTTCTGTTCTATATGCATCACGACGCGCGCGGACGCCTTCCTTGTTATTGTCTGACGGCGCCGGGACGTGTGTAAGAGCATCGCCGTCGTATCCGATACAATTTAATTAGATGACTGCTTGATGACCCGAGTACGCTTCATCCAAGCGAAATTTAACAATAAATATTAAATTTGTGTACGAGGAATCCGCTAACCGAATTTTAATCGGCGACAGATGTGACTGTGAATATAACGCGAAATGTTGGCGTCAGTTACCGGAAAGGGTGTTTGCCTTTGTACGATTCTTTGGATTCTTGACACTAAAGGTGCGTAGCCATATCCAATAAACTCAGGTGAAACGAAAAATGAGCCAACTCCCTCTTCTCTTTTTTGCCAATTTGAAAATCGATCTTCTATCCAAGCAAACAAGTAGTTTATTGTTCTCAAGTTGTAACGAAGGCACAGTCGAAACGTACTCTCTTGTTTTTTTCCAATTCGATTTATAACAGGTCAATGATCTTATGTCGTAAAGAAACAAAAGGTATTTTAGTGTGAAAGACTTTTTCAGTCGCTTACTAATTTAATATAACCTTAAAATGCCAAAGATATTTTTCATTTTATTTCGATGCGTATGATTTAGGCTTTTGAGTACATCCTCATTTTGAATGCCGAATTGACCCTAACTTCGAAGTAGTATTTTCTCGCCACGGAGCAACAGGTGCTAAATCCATTCCACTAGCACAGGCGAAAAATTTAAATATTAGGAATTCTTCCTTCCTTCCTTCAAAATTAATAGTTACACTGGCATGTGAAGCTACTGTTTAAACCCAGACGTGTCCGAAAAACGTCCACCGCTGTAGTATGCCTAATTTTTTATTTATCATCATTTCATGTTCATGTTTACTTCGCTGTTAACATAATGAGCTATGCAACGCGACATTTTAATAAATGTCATCAATCATCAACTACTCAAGTCATTTCTATCTTAACGGTTAAAGGCATGTGCTTAATTTTTACACAAAAATGTTAAGAAATAGAAGTAGAACACGAATTCGAGGAAAATGTGTCACTTTTTTTAATGGACAACTACTGCTCAGAAACAAATGAACAAAATTTATGGTCTTGCCTCTCAGATTGTAGCTGTTTTGAAACAAGTTAATGCGGTTTCTAAAATTTTAAAATAGGATAATAATTAACAATACTACAGTGGTGGGCAGTTTTCGTGAGTGCATATCAATGTCTTCATTGGTTTTGGTTATTCATTGAATGCTAACCAAAAAGAAGTACAATTAAGTTAATTTCAAATAGTACAATTGAATGAACTAATCTGCCATGAAAATAAAACTGTAGGTGACTAATTTTTTTAGTGTCTTTTAACTACTATTAATTAATAAGACTTAAGCAGAATAAGATCGCATATAAATCCAATACGTACTTTTAACTCAAGCGAGTCAACGTAGCGACGATATACTTTTTAGCGTCCTAAATAACTCATAGAAATTTATGAAGATTGCCCCGTTTAATAGGAGCTATCCAACCTTGTAATGATGGGAACAAAATTTTGAAAAATAAGATCCCACATAAATAGAAACCGAGTTAAAAATAAGCGTCCCGTGTTAGGTGGGCATCTGAAGTAGCATAAATTATGTCCCAGCACGCTGCAAGCGTCGAGCTTATTGCACAAGACTGGTTTATTTATTTCGCCGTAATTCGTTGGTATAAAATTTTGTGTCTACTGGGCATTGTCGAATAAAATAGAATAGAGTTTTACATAATCCGATTACCAATCTTGGTCTATACGAAGAATTTAAGTAATGAACTATTGATCGGAGGAAGACATTAATACTTTTTGTCTCGTCTTTTTGCTGTACTTCAGCAGATTCAAATACTTTACTTTCCGGAGAGGTTTTCGATGTACAAAGAAAAAAGAAAATGAAAATTCTGTAGAATTATCATATTACTCACTTGAATAATCGACAGGAGATTCGTATATACGCCTGGAAATTCAAGTCAGTGCCATGCCAGGTTATATTTATGGCAGTTGGAAATTGAATACTTCTTTCAATGGTATTTAAGTGCCAAAAAGCCGTTATTTAGGATAAGTATTAGCTTGCGGTTTGTAAGGAATTAATTTGAAATTTTAAAGATTGATTTCCAGGTTAATTTAATATAGCTATTAATTTTATTGTATAAAATTATGGCACGCTACTTGTTTTTTACATTTACAGATTATACTCTGTTTTAGAATTTTAAGCAATTAACGGTTTCTTTGGTCATTTGCAGTCAAAAGAAAGGATGATTATTACATAATTATCTCGGTTCTCAAAATCTTTTGGTTAGTCTGGTTGGTAACAAAGAATTAAAAGGAGTCGACTGATGTCTCAAATTGGTGTAAAAAAGACTTTAAATAATGAAAGTAATACAAAAATGCGCAAACCAATATTTTTAGTTTATAGTTTCATAATTTGGGGGGGGGGGGGGAGGGTAATATAAATTGTCATATTAGGTCATATGTGTGCCTAATAATTTCAGGAATGGCACAGGATCTAGACAGAGCGCTCAAATTCCGAAAAAATTCATCAGAATAATTTCTTGTCCAAGGGGAATAAATAAATATTTATATTTAAATGTTTATGAATAATTGTATGCATTGTTTGGTATAGCAAAAACTGAATAGACGGCAGACTATTTAACTCTGGCGATCTCTTTATGACATTTATTTGAAAAAAGTGTTTTAAAAAAACGTATCTTTTATACTTTTTAACAACATAGTGATGCTGCACCAAATGAATTTTTTATGTTCTTAATTTTGTATTATATTTCATTTCATTAGCCTCAATGTTTAAAGTAATGTTCGTACTTAGTTTCAAAGATAGTTTACATTGATAAAAACTTGTAAATTTATGGAAAGTTCAACACGCCTTGGCCAAAACTAATCGTTTCAACGAACCCTCAATATAACTACAAAAACGACGTACGTCGGAGTATAAACTCGACCGCATAGCGATTAAACTTGGCAGCATTCCCTCTGAAGTTATGGCGTCGTTGCATAAATTATAAAACATAGTTGGGGTGTTAAATAAGTCATTATTTGCCATCTCTGCATGATGGTGAGGCACATTAATCGAATTAGCGTCGCGCCTTTCCTAATATATTTATGCAAATTAGCGCATAAATTAAGTTTTACGACTTGCAAAGTAAAAACGACACTTAATTGGACTAAGGTTGCATATTTTAACACCCCCGGGGCGTGATGATGTTTTCGAAATTTGCGGGGGTGCAAGTGGGAGTAAATAAACGTTTGGTATACAGATTCTTTTAGCCCCTCACATTTGGCTTCAGAAAAATTTTTTAAACTGATTCATGAGACATTCAAAATACCAGGAGATTTGAACCTCCCTTAGACTTTACACAGTACTATCAGGTATCTAGTGACTGCAACTTGTCGACAAGAAGAACACAAACATTCGCAGACATATAAAATACAATTTAGTTTTTGTACAGTAAAATAGGTCATTATTTGTTTTTGCAAATATTATGTATCAAATAAATTCTTGATTTTCTACATGATCCGCTTCTTCATACTAGAGCATAGTCATTATAATACTATAATTAGTTTTCACCAAATTTTCTAAATAAATTAATCTAAAAAAAATAAATTAATCAATTTAAAAATTTTCTGCGTTGGAATCATTTCTAAATGAAAATATTAAGGTTTCTAATAAGTATAAAACATTTAACTAAACATCTTTATAAGATAAGTTAACTAACGAATATAACAAAAAGAAATATCTGAAATTGTTTAATAATTACATGTATTTTATAATTAATTATTATGCGTATGTGATGTCCAATTTACTTATAGCCCTCTTCGAGGAATATCCGAATACGATATTTAGCAATTCAGGGAGTCCCAATAAAAATATCCACGCTATTTAGTTTTCAGAACGACGCGATGGCGACTTATCGCGCAACAGGAATAAATAAAAATAAATAAATATGAATTTCATTGTATTTTTAAAATCATTTCGATCAATTGACCGGTCAATTGACACAAACAAAAATTTACGCTAGGTTGTACATAAGTTATACATGAGTTCTATGTTGAATGAGGAATGAGAGATTGTATTATGTAATTATCGAAGTATAATTTCGAATAAGGCTGATATCAGCAAAGGGTCAATTTTTACGCTAATATACGCACAATCTAAATGGAAAATCTTAATCAGTGTTTGCCAGCAAGAATTTCTTCGGTTTGTAAGCACTCAATCGAAAACCCTTTTAAAAGGGATAAACAAATAGTTAATCCCCTCAAAAGCAAGTATAACAACGGAATTCATTTATTTGGAAACGGATTGTTGATTTAATGTTGCGTGCTAAAAATACATTTAGGACCCGAGTAATGTTTTGTCTTGTAAGGGGAACATCTGGAATAACAGATATTTATCTCCAAGAGTGTACTTGCAATAAACCAATTTATTGCCTCAGATATACGAACTTGAATCCTGCAAATGAGTTATTACCTATAGCGTGGTGCAAATGAACGATAGAACAATTAATTCGTTATTTTGGTAAATCGGCGATTCTAAGGAAAATTGTAGAAACCCCCCTTTTTACATTATTCAAAAAATAATATTTAAGATATTTATAGATAGCATCTTTACTCTTAAGCTTATTTAAATTTATTACCTATTATATTGCCAGAGAGTTTTTTTTTGTGTTACTAACTGTGCTTCAGTAATTTTATTTTTTTTAAGAGGCCAATCATTTAACAACCGCTGTTCCGAAAAAAGTAAAACTATAAGGGCAATACCTTCAATAATATGTCTTTAGATGTTGAAAAACAGCAAACGTCATAAGGAATTATTTGAAAATGTAAAAGAAAAGAACAATTAAAGATACATAATATAATGTAAAAACTTTTTCTTGGCCTTAGGTTTAGGAACACTTTCCTCTCCTTAGAATTAGAATTTTCTTAGTCTCCACCTCTCACTTTTGAGAATTCCTTTTATTACAACGCAATTAATTACAATGAAGGTAATTACTAGATATTATAAAAATTACTATTCAGTTATTTTTACCTTTCGCAAAACAATATCGTTGGTGGGCAAATCGGTCCGCCAACAGCCTAAAGTTGTTTTCCTTCCCAAAATTAATATGGCAAGGCTATTTTTCTTCCCGAACTTATATCCGTCAATTCATTAGAGGAACTTTTCCAATAACTAACCCGGAATGTTTTCCGCAAAAAGGTCTGTTAATAAATTAGCTGAGCCACCTTTCAGAAGGGTCGTTGTGGGTTCAACGTGGGATGAGAAACAAACTTTTT